AGTGTCGCTAGTCGAACGTTCATCCAGCCAACTTCATTCCAAACCGTGTTGTTATATATTTCGAAAGCATTGACATTTCATGGTTTATTTATAAGAAAAATTTGTTTGATTCCGTGTGCGGTATGATATCAAAGATGCAAGACCGAAAGGAACGTATTATCCTTTTTTATTATCGAAAGGATAAAAATGCTGTTCGTTCCGACAATTTCGACATCAAAGACGCGCCACATTATCTGACAAAATAAATTTGATACCGATTGTACAAAACCGACGAATAACAATTCGAAAAATTACTGAAACAAGATTGAATTTGTCGAATTCGCGTGAATGAAATTTCGGTCACGAATTTCATTGTCACGAAAAAAGAAATTACTTTCCGAAAGAAGCGAGTCGTTCAACGATAACGTTACAATCCAAATTCGACACGATATCCAAAGAAATCTTGGCGTCTCGTCAAATTGTCGGGCTGACACCGATCTCTTCCATCGCCGGATCGGTGAATCGAAAAAGTACCGTTCGTTTGAAGAAGAAATTGCATAACAGAGAATCGGTTGCGCCTGTCGTCCTCGTCCGTTGTCTAGCAACCGGGATCTTCGGGTGTCCACCTCGTGAACTTGTTGCCACCAACAACGAACGAGTCGTCTAGCAACATTGACGGCCAATGGCGGTCGTCTGGTGGCCAGAGAGAGTACCGTAAGGATATTCACGTGTAGGTAAAACAGAGGGGGATACAGGTGGTGTCCGGTCAACGATCTTGCGCTCCTCGGTTCACGTATATATAAAGAGAGACGGAACGGGCACACGGCAGATCAACAACGGCAGCCATGTTCGGCAAGATAGCGCTGTTAGTCCTTTCCGCCTTGTCTCTGGCAGGAGCGCAGATACCCAGCCTGGGCTTCTGCCCCGAATATGTACCTATGGCCAACTTCGACATGACCAAGGTAAATACGTCTTCTTTCCTAATTTATATAAATATATATATTATTTTAAATTTCCTTTTTTTTATTTTTCATCGAAAACAGAAATATAAATTTTCTTCTTTTCCCCTTAGTTCTTGGGCGTTTGGTACGAGGCTGAAAGGTATTTCCAATTGACGGAGGTGGTGTCGCGATGTGTCATGGCCAACTACACGTTGGGCGCTGATGGCAAATTCCGTGTCAGCAACGAGGTCACCAACAGATTGTGAGTACTCTCTCTCCTTTTCCATTCAATATACACATCGAAACAAGAGATACATAATCTTTCTACCATACAGCACGGGGATCAAGAGGGTGTTGGAGGGCGAGATAAAGAAAGCTGCCTCGAAAGCGGAGGAGGGAAAGTTGATCGTGAAATACACGATACCGTTGACACCAGAGACCAAATACTCGGTTCTCGAGACCGACTACGATTCGTACGCTGTTCTGTGGAGTTGCTCGGGCATAGGCCCGTTCCACACGCAGAACGCATGGGTCATGACCAGGGAGAGGCTGGCACCTGGCACGGTACTGCAAAAGGTAAAACCGTTCCATCGTTCTTCCCATTATTATATACAATCAAAAACTCTTATCGAATATATATATATGTATATATACACAGGCCTATGCTGTTCTGGATAAGTACAAGATCTCGAAAACGTTCTTCGTGAAGACGGATCAGGAGGACTGCGCCCTGCTGGACGCGAAACCGTCGCAACCGGAGGAGCAGGCCGAAACAGGCGAGAAACCTGAGAACGTGAGGTCGGCAGTGGCGCCGGACGCGCCACAGGCGATCCTCGACTCGAGGAAAAACGTCAAGAACGAGGAGAAGGCGGCCCACCATTTCCAAAATCCGAACAAGAAGAAGCCGGCGCAGATTCCGGAACGGATCATGGAAGTGGCGGATAACATGAAGGAGAAGGAGAAGGAGAAGGAGAAGAAGGAGAAAGAGAAGGAGAAGGAGAAAGAGAAAGAGGAGGAGAAAGAGGAGGAGAAGAAGAGGAGAAAGAGGAGGAGAAGGAGGAGGAGGCGACGAAAAGAAGAAGGGGAGGGTGGAGGGGAACATGGAACGGGCGGAGAAGAAGCTTTGAGAAAACTAAATTCTTCTAAATTCATTCAGTCTTTCGAATCGTCGTCTGTTAAATTGATAAATTTTCAGCGAGCAAAGAGGGTTATGGAAATTTGTTTGGGCTTGCAGCGGTCCTTCGGCCTTTGAGAGACCAGTCTCGCCCGAGTTTTCGTTCTCCGGTTTCGTCGAGGCATTATCGCTTTCGCGGGAGGGGAGGGGAGGGGAGGGGTATTCGCTTATTGTTTTAACTTATGTTTTAACGAATGTAAGAGAGAGAGAGAGAAAAAAAAGAGAAAAAAGAAATAAAAAAGTTGAATAAATTGTTACATAAAACTGGAATGAAATCCTGTCTGTTAACTTATTACTCCCGAAGTTTCGAAGAGATGCGAGAGAGAGAGAATGACACTTGATGCAATTTTTAAGAGAAAAATTATATATATATATAATAAAAAAAAAAAAAAAGAAAATTTCGTTTCTCGGATAGGACAGCATTGAACGAAAAATGCGTACGTAACGATAAGTAAACGAATACAAACAAATCGGGATAGTAATTACCCGGGATAATAATCTACCGTTATCCCTGTACAACAATCGACAAACGTCGGCCGATGTTTCCTCGTCGTCGTATACGAATACTGATTCGTTCGTAAAAGTTAACTGTAAAACACGCGTTAAACAATGGATCGAACACGTTCGTATCGATCGAAGGTCAGTTTTCCCTCGCGTCCAATTCGTCTCGAAGATCGAGATTAGATTAAAAAGGGGGGGGGGGAGGAGAGGAAAGAAGGGAGAAGGATCGAATTTAATTCGAGGAGGTTATTAAATTTTCATTTGTAAATTTGTCCGGGGTTTCTTGAACCTCTATGCTATACCGTTAGCGACCCACTAACAGAAATCTTCCGAACGCATCCAGCCGGCACTGTTCACAACACTGGCCGCACCACACAAGCAAAGACGGTGGAAAGAAGAGGAGCAGCAGCACCAGTCACTGGCGGACAGTTGGACGCGTGAGAAGTGTGGCCAACCTTGAATCCATTCCTCCGAGTTTCAACGTGTTGTAACAACGATCCGGGGTACGTGTCCCATTCAAATCACTTCGATTCGTGACTCTCGTACACTATTTTTTTTTTTTCTTTCTTTCTTTTCCTTCCTCGTCGGGAGAGACGAGGAGAAAGAGATTCGTTTTCGTAGGGATGGCCTAGAAAAAAAATTTCGATCGATACGATTGCTCGATCGAGTATACGTGTATTACGATAAATGTACGCGAGGTAATGGTTTGTTTACATTTTGGGATGTGCAACGTTTGCAATCTCTCGATTCGATTTAAGAATCGTATTTCTTAATCGATTGAGAAAATTTTGCTTGTTAAGATTTAGCCCGTCAATTTTTTTAACAGTAATTAAATTATTCGTACAATTGTATTATACGATATACAACAATAAATTTTCTGCCGCGTTTCAACTCGATCAAATTATTTATGAATTTTAAAAATACTCTTCGTTCCAATATCTTTGTATTTTTCCCGTATCTCGATTCTTCTTCTATTCCACATGTTTGCAGAAGCAATGTTGCGGATATACTTGGTTCTAACCGTCGCAAGCGCGGCGATGGCGCAGGTGCCATTTTTAGGTTCGTGCCCCGTCGTGGAAACCGTACCGAGTTTCGATATAAAAAAGGTACGTGGCAATACACGTTTATATTATTTAACTAGGAAACTGGAATAAAATTTCTTGCGCGCACGCCTGTGTTATTGACTTACTTACGAGGCAATGCAACCTGCATTTAGAAAGCTGTCCTCAATAAGACATTGATATACATATCCGACGTAACGAGACATATTCAAAATTTTTTCTTCCTCGAAGGAAAGCGAACTTCGATCGAGTTTGTACACCTGATTCCCCTGCATTCCGTTATTTGTGTTCGCAGTACGTGGGCAAGTGGTACGAGATCGAGAAATATTTCGCCTTCTTCGAATTCGGCGGGAAATGCGTGACTGCGATTTACAGCGAGGGCGAGAACAGCGCGATTAATATCTTAAACAAGCAGATATCGGCTCTGTGAGTAAATGATTCAATTAATTCGTTTAATCGAATTAATCCGTTTCCTTGTGTTGTTAAATATTTAGGACCGGAGTTTCGTCGAGCATTGAAGGGGTTGGAAACCGGTTGTTAAGATCGAAGAGGCGAAATTGATCGTTACGTTCCCAACTTTGCCTCTTCCGGTGGATGCGCCTTACTGGATTCTCGACACCGATTATACGAGCTATTCTGTCGTGTGGAGTTGTTCCAACTTTGGCGTGTTTAGGCAAGTAATTCGAAAAAAAAAGTTGTTCTCGATCTATCTTTTCCCTTTCTTTTTTATTTTCGAGTAATAAATAATTTTAATACGCTTTCCCCGTTTCAGCATGAGGAACGTTTGGATTTTGGCGAGGGAACCGAAGCCACCGGTATCCGTGTTGGAGAAAGCTTATCAAGTATTGGATAAGAATAATATAAGTAGGGCGTATTTTATTCGTACAGATCAAAAAAATTGCCCCCTAGAAAATTAAATGTGAACGAGTACGATCAATCAAAACACGTTTGTTTGAAAAAATAGATAGTTTTGTTTGTAAAATACGTTTTATGCTCAATTTGATTAGTGATTATTTATTGATCTTTATTTATTGTATTTCAATCTAATAATTTAAGTGTTTTATCGAGCGTCGATAAAGAAATTTGACGATTGGATATATACGTCAAATTTATATTTATGCAATTCAATGCTCATTTATAATTTAACTTGATTTAACACTAAAATTTTACGCTTTTATCTCGCATAACAATTATTCACCGGAGCAGATGTAGATATAGTTAAAATGTTATTATACCTTATGGTAACGCGTTGTTATATTTATTTATTTATGTGCTAAATAGAATGATGTAATGTACGAAAAAATATATTAAAAATATGTGATAATAAGCAATTCTTTTTACCGAAGAATTGAAAAATGTTTAAAAATTGTATTTGAATTGTATATTAAATTTTATTATGCCTCGTAAAAAAATGTATATAAAAAGGAATAGCACAAGCAGGGTGTAGGATAGACCTGACATCTTACGGGATTTTGTGTCACATGTTCTGAAATACCGACACCGTAAAAATCGACAACGACAGGTAATTATCGACAACGATTTTACGTTAAAAAATTATAATCATTCAAAATAAAAATTTTAACTCAACAATTATTATTTTCCATCCGTATTTATAATGTCAAAATGCGAAATTTGAATTTTTTCATAATTATAATTTAAACGTAATCAATTCGATCGCAAAAATAATAAAAAAAAAAACCGCGATTTGATCATGAAGACTGAACGATGGACCAACAAGTTTATCGGTCAAAAAACAAACTACCATTACCCATCACCACTATTACCAACACTACTGCTACATAATTAAAACGAGCACAGTGACAAAAAGTAGTAACAAAAATGACTTCCCATCCTTTGGACCCAAAGATGAATCCAAAAGAGGAGAAATCATCGATAGTTGCCCTCTTCTATGGCAATTTGCCGGGCCTCTTCGGCTATCTCGCCTCTTCTTTCTTCGAGCGCGATGCCCGCTGAAACTTAAATCTAGGCTCGAGATTTCCTAACAAAACGAAAAGAAAAAGCAAAAAGAAAATTGTATCGACCGATATATATATATAAATCTCGAGCTCAACGTTCGTTTCGAGATCAATTTCACGACCACGACCGCGGAATTCGAAAAATCGATAAGTAAAACCAGAAACAACTAGTGGTGATGACCACTCGTCGCTCGTCTCAGTTTCACTCTCGATTTTTCAAATAATATTTCCTGAAACAGGTTGCCACGCGAAAACGCGCCTACCCGACCAGAGACTGTGACAACCTGCCCGGCCCTGCCTACTTAATAATTAACAGACACACCAGAAAGTATGCTACCTATTCCTGCCTAGCCCTATATTTAAAAAGTGGCAGAAAAACAGGCACGCCAACACACTCGCTCCACGGTTCTCACGCATAACGCTCGGGCGCAAAAAAAGCCTACACTGGAAAGGACGTCCCGGGACGCCTTCGACACCCGAGCTTCACACTCTACTTTCACACTCTAAGTTTACGTACCATTTTCCTGAAATCGACTGACGATGGCTAGCGATCATCGCGTAAATCGCGAAAAAAATGCGTACGTATCTGAATCGTAATTATATATTTGATCATGATCGAAAGAATAGGTATACTCTCGAAAAAAGTGATAATATTAGACTAGACTGGTATGAAATTTCATGCGTTTGATATAATTTAGGGTAATAAAATCGTATAAAGACTAAAAGATAACGACGCAATTCCACAGACTAACCACACATACACACACACAATGTGGAAAATACGTCGCGCACGATACACTAACGCATCGTCAATCGCTGAGAAATTGTTATAAACTTATAAACTAGTATCATCATGCCCATCGCCTCTCTCTCATCCAAGTAACACCTGGGCACGTGAGTGAGATCCTGGCAATGGGCATGGAAAAGGTTAAACCTGAAAATCCTGAGCTAAAAAAAGTATTAATGTATTTATTTTTCATCTAACGAGCTAATATGTTTTGTCGATATTCTTATTTTACTTCGTATTATTTGTAAAACTCTACTTGATTGACTTTTAATAAATTATTAAAAAGAATAGGAATCGTTAAAGCAATTATATATGTATATTTTTTAAAAAAGATTAATAATTAATATTCATTGCAATTTAATATAAATATTAACAGAAATATCCTCAGGCGAATTCTTCATCAAAGTATATTTTCGAAAAAATATGAAAGTATTCAAAATTTGTCACTCTGATTTCGAATTCTGCCTTGTCGCGAAATGTCTTCTTGCGTATATTTAATACATTTTGTATACGGAGGAAATGAAATTAATATCTTTACTTATCGATACTAATTATCGACATTATATTAAAATTTTATCAAAATTAATTATCAATAAAACGCGATACGCAAGAAAACCTATCCTGATCTAATAAATAAAATACAGAAAAAAAATGTTACTACTCACGGGTATAATAAATACCCGTGGTCACTGTGCTCGTGCAAAAATTCTACGTATACAACCAGTCACCCGTGTCGATTTGGACTTTTCATCCTACGACATGATTGAGTGGACTAGAGGAACAAAAATACATGCGACTTGCCATTAGATGCGACGAAACTGCATTGCCATCAATACTGCTTATTCTTTTGAACCACTGACTCGAATATACGACACAAACGAATATTTATGAAAAAGAAATAAAGAAAATAAAAGATTATTAACACGTTCATTTTCATATTAGATGTAATCACGAATAAACACTCACTCAAATTTCACGAAATGTTATTATAATTAAATTTAATTAAAATTATTGCACTGTAAAAAATTTCGGAACACTATCACGAAACAATCACTGATTCTAACGATCGCATTGCACGCGATCACAAAATATCGAACTTCATTGCGTCACTATGGCATCCATATTGGAATTTTTCCCGCCTTTGAAGAGTGAGACCAGTAATCGACTAACAACCTGTTCAAAGAAAAATCAAAATTTTCTTAATAAATATCTAAAATGTATGGAATTAATCGATTATATTAAAATAGAACAACAATCAAGCACAAATTTTATGCTAGGAAATCGTGATGAAAACTACTCTATTCATTCGTTATGATTCTAACCGTCAAATAAATGAATAAAGAAAAAATAACACTTCAGTTACTAAAGAATTTCCAATTACAATAAGATATGCGTAATAATCGAATAATAATGTATGAACGATGAAGAATAATTATGAAGAAGTAAAATATTATTAATAAATGAATCACATACCTGGAGGAAACGACGACACGTCTAAGCACCACAATTTTCGAGACTACAATGGCATCTCGCGCTTCGATTTCGATTATCGAATAACAAATTAAGGAGGGGGAATGTGCTCTATCGACAATACTCGTTCACATAACTATCGTTCGACAACAAATCGAAACGTGTCGAGCGTGACACGAACGTAACCCTCAATTTCTCAGAAAAGCTATTATAAACAATGTTTTCACTGTCTCGAGCAAACGTATACGCGAAAGAGAAAGACAAATATATAAACAATACAGAAATTATATATTTAGAAAAAGAATACGTATCACTGAAATACGCATTACTTTAATTTGATGAAACTAATTACTGTATGAATAAATGAATATACATATACGAATATAAAAATGGATAATGAATTAATTTTAAACGTTCTTTTCTGAATAAAAAAAACAATAGAAATATATTTTAAATAAATGAAAAGAAATAAAACGTTACCTCGTATATAGGAAAATCGTAGTATAAGTCGTCATAGCGTGTATTATACATCATTATTCTTTCGAAATCATTTTGGTTATCAAACATAATCTGCACAAATAAAGATTAGAAAAGATAAAATAAACGTATAGAGTTAAAAATATATTAAAATAGAGCAATAATAAAAACTAAAATTCTTGCTGAAAATCTTGCATGTAGTATAAACTACCGGTAACCTCAACAATCAGGCAATCGAACGAAAAAGCGTAAAGAAACTCACAAAAATTATAATTAATTTCGTTATCACAGTGTTCGATGGATTATTAAATAAACGAAATAACGTATAAATTCGCTAATGAAGTAGAAATAGAATCACTTACATTTGTAGCGAGGTTACGTATCTCGAATTGGTGACACGTCCTGTCACGATGATTTTCGATAAAAGAATGACGCCACGCGCCACAGTTTCGCCTAGGAGCTTTCTAATTGGCTGGAACTCGTGGTTCCTTCTTTACTCAAAACCGCGCGGAAAATAAACCTGTAATATTGTATAATACAGTTTCATCGTGAAATATAATATCAAAGTTTTACAAAAATTCGCTTATTAAAAATATAATAAGAATAAATTATTGAAATTAATTTAGTATAAAGATTAATCAAATAAGATACGAAGACACAAAAGCGGAAATATAAAAGTTAATATAAAATTTAATTGAATCAATGTAACAGCAGTTTGACTAAAACTAAAACACAAAAGAAACAAATTTAAGAGTAGTTTTTCGCCATTGATCATCTTTTTTCTCTCGTCGAATGTAAAATATATAAATAAATATAATATAAGAAATAGAAGATTTTCACACGGTATTCACAACAGGCTCGCACAAATTGCTACCCATCCTCTCCCACATGAAAAATGCAGGAAATAGACAAGAATGAAATAAATCGAGCGTCTGCTAATAAAAACACATATATCAATACTGTTAAATTAAACAAATAAAGTAATATGGGGTACGTGTCACGTGTTAGATTCGATCCCTGACTCGACGTCACGTGGCGTGTACCCTAACAGACACCATTCAATTGCAAAATCTGCAGGATGTCATCAACGATATATTGTGCAACGAAAATAAAAGAAAAAAAAAAACATCCCACCGAGACACCCCACAAAAACAGAATCCTGTTAAAAAGAAGGGGGGGGGGGGGAAGAGTACATATACCATGCGTGCACACTTCTCACTGCCTGACAACCGCCATTAATCAATATCTTTTTTCAAATACATGCAACTTCTTATACGTAATAAATAATAATTCTAGAATAAATATCGATTCCAATCGTTAATTAATTCCTAACTCGCCCCAGGTATAAGAATGTAACATAATATAACAGAACTGAGAGAGTAATTATTAAATTAAATAAAATATATCTTTCTAAATGGTAGTAGTGGACATCTTTCCAACATTACTGGTTAGACAACAAGTTGAAAGGCGACGATGAGAAGTGGTTTTTTCTCTCCTAGGAATAGGTGTTCCCCGTAATCGGCACGATCTCGAGCGATAAATTAAAATGCGGTCTAGAATCTAAATCAGGATCTCTCAGAATAGGTAGGCAAAAA